TTGCCACCGCCGGCGAGAGGGGGTACGGCCGCTCTGGAGCGGGGAACGGGGGTCTTGGCAATGGTGCCGCGCTGGGGGTGTTGGGCCTGCGGCGAGCACGGGACGGGGTAGAAATCAGAAAAGGTCGCTGGTGCCGAGTTAGCGATTAACTGCTCAGCGGCCGTGTGATGTTAACCACTCCGGTGGTTGCGGGCTCCCATGGTAAAGGTGCGTCATTGAACTTAAGTCATTCTGTTTCAAGGTTCTTAGGTGTCATGCCTGCTTACAGTGCTGCAGATGATGCTCTGGCCACGAAGTTGGTGACTTTTTATGAACACAAGAAGGATCCCTCTGTCCCTTCTCACCAAGCAACTATCCTCTTATTTAACCCCACAAATGGCCATTTAAAAGCTGTGAGTTTCATGTGTGTTTCTGCGTTCTGTCAGTTCTCCCATCTGGTTCTTGGGAGCTGAAGCTGGTGTAAATTGGTTAGAATTTATTTACGTCATAAATGCAAATATGTTTGTGCCAAATGAGGATTTCTTCTTGGATATCATAATCTCTTTCATGCATGTTAAACTGTACTCTGCTCTTTGCCACCACTTGTGATTTGAAGGGAATCTGTTGGCTCACAGGGTGACTGGAAGAGATAAATGATGAGGAAAAGTTTACCTTGCATTTAAAAAAAACCATCTTGAACCATCTTAAGTTAATCTAAAGAGATTTATAATTTGTATAAAAGGGAATAGTATTTAGAATCATTTATTTGCTTAAAGAATTAAGAATTGCTTAAGAATATTGACCATTTTCATTACACTTTGTTCATAATGGTTATTAAAGGGCTAAAACTGGTCAAGAAAAGTATTTTCAAGCTACTTGATTCCTTTGTACACAGTAGCTAATATACTTTGAGGCAGGAGTGCCCCGCTGTGTGTGATACACAATAGAGGAATTCTGAGGTTCTCTGTCATCCCTTGGTACAGACCAAGACCCTGCAGGACTTGTGAACCACTGCCAGTTTGCACCATTCCCTGGTGCAGAGTACTGCAGTTGTATGGATGTATTCCCCTGCGTTGGAGAGCCAGGGAAGTGCAGTGCACAAAGACCTGTGTGAGTTAGTGGGTGGTTCAGCTCTGACCAATTTTCACTACTTTTGTGTAGGTGGAATGATATTGAAGAACTGGAATAGGCAGAGAATCTGCCTAATTTAAATGTGATTTCATATGGTTTGTGATTGCTATAATGGCAGTTGCCAACTTTTATGTTTTATCTGTGCCCTGTAATAACACATCATTCATAAATTGGTTGAAAATGGTATTTACTGATTTTCTGTGTTCATTTCAGTCTGTTTGAGCCTTTTTTTTTAAAGGTCCTAGATGGCACTGTCATTACAGCAAAACGGACAGCTGCAGTTTCTGCAATTGCTACTAAGGTATGTCTTCTGTTTGCTAAATCGAGACACAGTTAGTGGTGTTATAATATAAATATACGGAGTGATGTAAATGACTTTCAGTGGATGTGAATTTTCATCAAATACAGTTTTAAATTCGATTTATGCTAATGTGTATATTCAGGGAAAACTTAAAAGCTCCATTTTCTGTTTTGATTGAGTCATGTCTGGCTTTAACACTCTGTGATTGGAGAAGGAATCTGAGCCATGATTTTGTGGGAATTTACTGAAGTGTCTTCCTCTGATTTTTCTTTCTTTTGTGCTTGTCTTAACACATTCCTTTATGGCTTTGACTGATGCAGCAGTAGTGATAAATCTGGTTTTGTTTAGATGTAGGTTTTCTGCTGTTGGGCCAGGACAGGTGGTTTTCACTGAGCCTGGAGAAAGAGGAAAAACACATATTTCTTGGAGGTAATGTGAGTCCTCTTAAGATAGATGATGGCCAGGATAGATGGAGGTCTTGTCCAGAGGTCTGTCAGTCTGTTCTTATTTTGTCACTGGAAAATGTCCAAACTGTCCCTGAATACAGCCATAAACTTCAGTGTCTGAAGACAGGTGAGGTGTATTTGGCAGTATGTTGCTTTACATCATTTCAATTTAAGTTGGAAACTGTTGGTTTTGAATTCTTTTTTCAAAACTATATTTGGCTGGGCTGCTAACAGTGGGATAAGAGCAAGTCACCATCCATTGCACAGCAGGGTTTTAGTCTTCAACTCTATGAATGAGGCAATTAGAAGAGGGCCAAAGCCGAAAAATACTTTTGTTTTCCACTGATCAGTTTTGCATCAGAGTGAAGACTGATCTCACCACTTTGTTTGTGGCAGTCTTTACACCAGTGTGACTCTATCCATGGCAATAAAGCTAAACTGACATAAAATTGGAGTGAAGAACCTGTCCCCACGAGCTTCCCTTGCAGCAGGGGACAGAACGATTTACAATGGATTCCTTGGACATGCAGTTATAGGACCTCATTCATCTCAGCTCTTCTATATTTGGGTAGTTCTAACAGTTTTTACACAGCCAAGGTTCTGCTGGCCTCAAAGGAGCTTGGCTGCTGAAGGGACTTCAAGATCAGATCCTTCATTGTCATCTGCTGTTTTGGGAAATTTTCAGGAGTGTTTGAGTTTAGCTCATAGTTGTCATCTTGTCCTCTTTATGGCATTTGCTTTTCAAAGACCCATTCTTTTATGCAAAGAACCTTTGAAATTAGTGCTTCAGAGTCTCTGAAAGGAACATTAAAAGAGTTCTTGTTCCTGAAAAATGGGATCAATGAGATTTTTTTCAATTTATTTGCAGCAGAATAAGGATTGAGAGCCTAGACAATTCCAAAGCTTTTTACACAGAAGCAAGCAGCCACAGCAAATGCATAAACAAGGCACAAGGATAGCTTAGGCCTGGACTCCAGCAGCTTTCTCTTCTTCACCTTTGCCAAGTACTGGTGAATCACAGGCAAGAACTAAACCACAAATCCGAAAGCAATCCTAGAATTGAATTTTAATACTTGTTCCTTGGAACCATCCCAATTTTTACAATGCTTGATGCATATGTATCATGGTTCTTAACGATGCCAAGATCTGCTTGTGTCATGGTTTGTGGTTTCAGTGAATTGAAGAGATTTAGTTTGGGGCTACCAGGACCGTTTACCCAGACAGCTACTGCTTTCAGTACTGACAGCTGTTGGTGTTATGAGCCCTGTTTTCAGCCAGTACAGGACATCAACACTATGGTGTTATACTTAGTCACATAGGTGTAATACATTATACTAGTATTTGAGTATGCCAAGTCCCCAGAGTTTGCAGGGACTCATCCTGTTGCCTGATAAGTCTGAATTTCCAAAGTTGAACAAGTCAAAACTGAAATGGAGACAAGATGTGCTTTAGTGCTATTGGCACTAGCTTTTGCATTAGAAGTAAGTGTGTATATATATATATACATATATATATATAGTGGTAATGGAATATTGTTTTATATTAACACATCAATACTAGCTTTTGCATAGAAACATTTTTTGTTTAAAAGGACTAAGGATACTACTTTCTTCTGTAGTGTTTTGACATGTATTTGTTATATCTGTTAATATATCATCCTTGCATACCCTCTTTTTCTTCTTTTTATGTATTTGATACTGTTTAGTTGTTAATGCCACCTTTTGCAGAAGTGCTGTGCATTTTGGGAGCTGGTGTTCAAGCACGTAGCCATTATGATATCTTCACAGAACTGTTCATATTTAAAGAGGTAATGGACATACCTTAATGCAGTTGTTTTTCTCTATTATGTTTCAGGAGCACTTATAAATAAATCATACTATAGCCAATGAAGTTAAGGGATTAATCATTTTTTTATTCTGTTTCTACACAACCCAAGAATACTCTGAACAGCTGTAGAATTCTTGCTTGAATGTTGGTCTTAAAAAAAAAAAAGGTGTTTTGGAAAGAAAGTCAAGTGTCAGATGGCTTTTTCTCTGTCTGAGAAAATAACACTCTGTGTGCCATACTTGAATCAGCTTTCTGTGACTTTCCCTTAAATACATTTATTGGAATATTTGTATCTTTAACAGTTCCTTGTAGAGTTGTACTTTTCTGGTATCACAAAACAGTCATCCAAATATTGCTGCTCGCCCTTTAAACTTAGTCACCTGGATGAGGAATACATCAAAGGGGGAAAAAAACCCCATCTTTAGGATACATGTAATTGTCTACTAAAAACTGAAACAAAGTGTTCTGTTTCAACAAGGAGAAATTCTGCAAGCTAATCTGTCTTTTTTTTTTTCCTTAAAGGTCAGAATATGGAATCACAACAAAGATAAAGCTGTGAAGTTTGCCAATTCAGTTAATGGTCCAGTTAAAGTCTGCTCTTCTGTTCAGGAGGCAGTTACTGGGGCTGATGTGATTGTAACAGTCACTATGGCAACAACACCAATTTTATTTGGAGAGTGGGTAAAGCCAGGTGCCCATGTTGATGGTATGCTATGTTCCCGTCATTTAAAGGATACACTTATTATCACATTGTTTACCATTAGACTTGAAAAGCAATGTTCCACGCTTCTCAGAATAAGCATTCTTTCCATTTGACTTTTCCCCTTTAGTGAGGACCACTTTTCCCAGCCCTATTTTCCTGGTTGTCTAGAGCCCGAACTCCTGCTTATTCCAGCATTGGATGTTTGCTAGAGCACAAGAATGCTTTTTTTTTTCCCTAGTGGTGCATCATCTTTGCCACCATGTTTTCATGTGATGCTCACCTTGCTCTTAATATACATAACTCATACACATTATTCTCAAAATGATTCCTGCTCATTGTACTGTTTGCCTGGTAGTTGTCATCTTTTCTTCACCCAATTTTGGAAGCTCCTCTATTTGTTCCTTTTTGGACTGATCACATAGTTTTTTTTATTTTTCTATCAAATGAAAAGATGCAATAACTGAGTTAATAATTTCATAATTGACCTCTATTTACGGTGAGGCTTGGGAAGCTTTTTTTTTCCTGCCTTGTAATGATGTTGCTACACTATTGTTTAGAGTCTCTGGACATGCCCACATTTGTTTATTTTATTGTAGGCCTGGTTCAGATGACCCTGTGCACTTTCCAAACAGAATGGTAATAACACAAAAGCGACTTGTCAAAGAGAACAATTTAAAGAAAGGTCCCACACTCCAGTAGCATTCTACCAATTTTTCAAACTCAATTTAGTCCTTTGTCATTGAATGTTGTTGTCTGTGTTGTGTCACGGCATGGAAGCCAGAAATGCGACCAAACTCAATTAAGGTCTACAGTCACTGGGGCGACACATGCACAAAGGCCCTGCTCCTTTCTTTGCCTTTTTTTTTTTTTTTTAACCCTCCAGTGAGGCATTCATGCTGTTTGAAGAGGCATTCAGGCAACATGGAATTTATTATTCCTTAACAGTTGGACATTTTTAAAAAACATCTTACTATCGTATAACTCTGGTTTTTGTTTGGGTTTGGTTTTGTGGTTTGTGGACTTTTTATTTTAGCCCACAACAAAGTGGCCTTGATAGTGGTCTTGCTGTATTTAAAATTTAAGTTCCTTGATTTGTTTTCAGTTTCTCCAAATAAATGAAAGCCCATAATCTGCTTAACTTGTACTGCTTATAAAGATATAAGGAAATAGAAGAGCATAGGTTTAAAAATCCTAATTGGTAACTTTGAATTCCCTGTCTGCATGTACAAGTCTTTGCTGCATGTTACTTTGATTCTCATCTGTTAAAGATAATTGAGGGATTCTTCAAATCCTGCTTTTCTCTATAGACATAACAAGCAGTTTGAATCAAATAAAAGGACTATAAAATTAAGGGCATTTGGTAATGATCTGATGAAGATCATGGTTATAAGAGAGAATGGACAAAGTGAGATGATTTTCTTATGCCTCAGCTACCCAGAGTCTGCTGACAAGTGTATTCTACTGACAAATCAAATATTGAATGTTTTAGAGGAGCTGTATTAGGTGTTAGTTAATTCTGTTTAAAATGTAGAAAGCATCTATGAACTTGTTTTAAACATTCCTGCCAAATTCATCAGTTTTGTTGTCTTAGCTGTTGGAGCAAGCAGACCAGACTGGAGAGAACTGGATGATGAACTGATGAAGAATTGTGTTCTGTTTGTGGATTCCAGAGAAGCTGCTTGTGTAGAATCAGGAGATGTTATATTATCAGGGGTAAGACTTTCTTAAATTATAGACTTCATTTTTGTGTCAATTGGCTTGCATTCGAAATGAATTTGTATTGATGATGCACTGCACTGACACTTTTTATAGCATCAGATGTAGTTGTTAACGCTTTACAGGCACAGGCTGAAAGATAGACTGGTTTCAAACTGAGACTTCTATATGTCTATGCCAAAACAGTGCAACCTCTGTATCAACCATTACGTGACACCATATTACAGTAGCATGTTTTCAGCATTGGCCTTTGTGTGCAATAACAAAGTATTGGCTGTGAAAGAACTACATTTCCTGCAGTTTGATAGTTATGCTAGACATTTTTCAAATCTATTTATTGAAGCCTGTAACTTCTTTCTGTAATATTTCAGTGCAATTGATGACACACATCAGGCTTCTCGAGAATGTACAACAGAAACCAAGCAGATGGTTAACGATCTGCAAAAAATTGACAGTAGGGACTCTTAGATTTAGTGCACTTTTCTTTTTTCTTTTTAATGTTTTTGCAAAACAAATACGGTTTCCACTTTTGGGGTATAATATAAGAGGTCCAGAAATGGGGAAATGTGTGGAACCCCATGTGTTTTGTTGGATAAGTAACAAGCTATCCACTGTAAAAAAAAAAAAAAAATTAAAAAAAATAAAAAAACAACGAACAACAAACAAACCAACAAAAATCCCCCAAAAAACCACAAAAAACACCCACAAAAAAACCCTAACCAAAAAAACCCACAAAAACCAACAACAACAAAACACCAACCAACAAAACCACTGCACCCAAACAAACCCCAAACCAAGAAAAAGTGCCCCCAAGAAACCCACAAAAGAAAAAAAAAATTACTGACTGAGGAAATCAGGTTGTTTTTTTTTCCTGAACACCATTCCATTCCTCTCTGATTTCTCTACAGTTTCTGTATTATTTGTCTGAATATTGATCTGCTTCACCATGGAAAGGAATCAGTTCTGGGGCAGCAAAACTGGAGGAGTTCTTTCTTTTCAAGTCACTCAGAAAGAAAGTATTTCACTTAATGTATGTATAGATATTAAGTTTTTTATAAATACGTATTTGTTTTACAGGCAGAGGTTTTTGCGGAGCTGGGAGAGGTACTGAACGGTACAAAACCAGCCCTGCCGGAGAAAACAACCGTGTTTAAAGGACTGGGTGAGAACTACTCTTTCTGTGTACAAGTCTGACAGAAAACAATGCCTGGTTATTTATTAGGTCTCCCATGCGTGGGAAAGCTGCTGATCATCTACAAGAACTGCTGTGGCAATGCACTGTCCAGAAGAAACTAGAATGTGATTTGCATTTTCCCTTTTTATTCCACTTTTTATTTATCTATCAGGACTGATGTAACTAAAAGTTATAAGAAAGCAAACAAACAATAGGAAGGAGTGTGCTTTCTACTTCACAATTTTTTAACATTAGTGCAGTGTTTATTATTACAACTTCATCCCAAATGCCCTGCTGTTATGCCCCTGAAGTCTGTCTGACCTACAGACAATGTGGCAGTGTGCTGTGGGGTTTGAATTGATGTTTGTGGGGAAAGAGGCCCAAAAGGGTCAAGTTGTGGAATGAACATTGAAAATTAGATAAATACAATTACATTAACTTCATATAGCACATCCAACAGTTCATGATGGCTATAAACTTTAAATGTAACACTGTAGGTGTTTGGGGTGAGGGATGATTTCTGTTTCTGTCCAGTTAGATAATTTCTTGAGTCCTTATCTTCCCTTCTGAAGCTAAATTACTTTCTACAGCTGAAGATCTTTTTGAAGATGTCTTTAACTCTTTTTCAGGGATGGCGGTTGAAGATACAGTAGCAGCAAAATTTGTTTATGACTCGTGGTCAGCTAGTAACTGAAGACAGAAGTCTACAGTGTCAACAAGACCAAGAAAATTGTTTGTACTTGGTTTCCTTGGATCTTTTAACAAGAAAGACACCAGTCCTATCTGAATGTGGCCCTTTTAGAACATTCAAGAATGAAAAGTAAAATTTCTGCAATAGACTTAATTTCTGCAGTTTTCTAATGATAAGTACTAGGTATCTTTTAGTAATTTTGCAGGTATCTCATGTACTGCCAAGTATTCGATGTTTGCAGTGATACTAACAAGGGTGTTTATACATATTTTGGTATAATTATGGAATCAGTGCCTTTCCTCCCTAATTATGCAGCAAAAGCCTGTGGGTAGATTTCACGTTTTCAGAGAGGTAGTTCATACTGGAGTAAATTATATCAGTTTGGAGAATGGACTCTGGCATCATATTTACCTGTAATGGTACTTTAAATGCAACTGTGGGTTTCAGTGCTGCACTGACAGTAACCCAGTCTCCTGAAAACAGCCCACCCCAGACTCCTAAACACCTCTACTCTTCCAGCTCAGTCTGAGATCTAAAGTCACCATTGCCTGCACTTAACACCTAATTTTTTTTCATTTATGGGCGCATTCCTGAGTGGGAGTTTATATAAATAATGATGCCTCCATACAGTTAAATCTTTTTTTGTAAAAGACCTGGCTCAGAAAGACTTACAAGTGAAAAAAATATCAGAGCTAACATGTACATTTTATCTGGGAGGAAACTGTACTAAATACCTTTCTTAGTTCCTTCCTGTCTGCATTGCTGCCACTTTCATATTGCAAGGAGGCACCCAAAATGTGCAACTAAAATGTGTTTTGATTTAACTTTAAAAAAACTCCCCACAGAATACAGATAAATCTACGGTGTTCGCAAGTTCTTTTTCTAAGCTGCTTGAAGGTTGGAACCATGCATATTGGTTTCAGTAGGATTAACTTCAAGTAAACAGGCAAATATTTTTACTTTGGCTGTACCATGCATCAGTTGGTTATTGTTCTTTTATCCCAGTGAGTATTAGCTAGGGCAGGAATTTCCATGATCCTTTCTTGGTGGAGGAACCCAGTGATGTGTAACAGCACAAAACCGTAACTTTTCCTTATGTAGAACAACTGCCTTACAAAAGATTGAGCATCTGCTGAAAAACAGCTTTTGCCCTGGAAACAAATTCCTATCTCGGGCTAGAGATGTGCCTTATGAAATTTTGTTTCTACTGACATATTATTCCATGCAGGCTATTAGGTGTTTCTTCACTCTGCAGAAGGATTAGATGACACGGTCATTTTATATCGCTACCAGTAGAATGCAGTGGAGCAATAGAGGGGGGTTCAGAAGTGTTAGTGTTAAAGCCCTTGATGGTGCATAAGTAAGTATAGAAAAGGTTAACAAGTGCAGTGCAGGTGAAATATAAATAATACTCCAAATTATTAAGCCTGGTGTAAACTAGTTGGAAAAAAGTAGTGGCAGAGTTTGTAATTTGCAGAGTTTTAGCTTGGAAGAGTACCAGACCAGTAAGTGAATAGGGTCAAAGAATGTGTTTGTGTGGATAGAAGTCTAAATCCATTGATCTTGTTTGTATCAGCAGAAACAAGAACAGAAATTTCTCTATAAGCTTTTGCATTTTTTAATTGTTGTAAAACTACCCTTCTATTTTTACACATACTTTTTTCTTTGTCATTTCTGAAGTGTTCAGAAATGTAATTCTTCACTTAGGCTGTTACTTCAGCGACAGACAACTCCACTAGTCATAGACAAACATGACAGCTGCCCAATGTTCCAAATTCAAGAACTCTATGGGAACTTGCACTTACTACTCACAACGATATTAATCCCAGTTCTGTGCCTGTAAAACAAGGTCTGTAACTTAAAGTGAGGCATAGTGTCTGGGGAGAAGACAAATCCAGGTTATTTTCACATGCAGTCTTCTACAGGCTGTGCACTTTAAAGGTATATGGAACCAATCCAAAAACCTGGTTCTGAAAAGCTGCAGTGTTCTCTGCTTTCATTGGAAATAGGTTCTGGGAGCCTGGGTTCAGCATTGCACCTCTGAATTCATGAAAAGGATTTGATTCTGATACAATGGGAGTTGCTTGGATGCTGTCTTCGGATGTTTTGAGGGGAAGTAATAGCCTTAATGTCTGTGTTTCCTGCTGTTATACAATCTGATTCGTAACTTGCATTTATGTTAAAATTAAATAAATACTGCTGTTTTATCTGATTTCTGGTGTTCATTACTTTTGTTTTGGGTTTGAATAGGAGGAAGTATTCAAGTTGTTGCACTGACTGCTCTCTCAGTAAATGCGATTGCTGAATATAAAAGGGAAGATAAATTGAGATTGCTTTGCTCCACTGTGATACTCAGTTTTGCAATCATTCTCCCATGCTGAATGTTCCCTCCTGATGTCTGTCCAGTGCAGAGTATTAAATCCTTAAGGAAGGAGAATCTTGTACTTGGCAGGGCTGTGATCTTGTGAGATCCCATGGTTTTATGATTTGGGTTTGGATTGGGCTGTAAGATTGCACATGAGATATATAAAGTCTCTCCAAATGGACTGTGCTATACTAATGTTACTAAAGAGTCAGATCTACAATTCATTGATTTAAATACTTCTAAATTATAGAAGAAACAAAGGGGTTAGTGAAAAAAATTAGAAAATGGCAAAGCACATAAGTGGAAAAAAATGAATTGAATGTTCTTTTCTTCCCCCCAAACCCCTCCCCCCCTGAGTTGTTCCACATGGCTGCTTTATACCAGAGGCCAATTTCCAGGACCACTCTGCAAGAAAAAGACTAGCAGTATTGAACTTCTTAAAAATTACTTTTTATTTATTGTAAAAGGGTATATGTATGGGGTTGATTTAGTTGCCTAAAAATAAGTGTGATGTGGAATGCTCTGAGGCTTCTTAATTCAGTCTTTAGATGCAGTTCCAGAAGGACAAGGGCCTCCTATAGATCTTGTGCTGTACCTGCTATTTCCATAAAGGTGCTGCAAATACCTAAGGACATACCTAAACACCTTGGATGCTTGTGACAACCGAGTCAATTTATATGCAGATAGTCCCTGCCATTACTCAGGTTGTCAGAGGTCACAGTGGTCAGGCAGAGTTACAGATGAATATGCAGAGGCAGATTTTCGGTGTCATTTAGAGGTACTTGGGCCTTGATCTGTCTAATGTGTAGTATCTCCAGGTGCCTTCTCTCTAACCTACATTTGGCTTCTGTCAGTGACAGGCACTTGCATGCTTAGCAGAATTTTTGAAAGGCATTCCCTGGATAAATGGATCTAACCCAATTGAAATCTAGCTTGAAAAGGTGCATTATGCTCACAAATTTGCACTAGAGTGAAGTTACCAGAGCAATATAGACCCTCTATGTTTAGGGATGGTAGAATTCAGCCACTGCAGCTGCAGGAGGGGAAGATGTAGAGAGTGATGAGGCTCAGCTTGCTGCTTCTGCAGCTGCTAGAAGGAATGGGAAGCATCTGCAACTCTAGAATGGGGAATGGAGATTATAGACCCAAACAAGCATTTTTACAACAGTTATGTGACTGAGAATTATAGGATTGGATTCTTCAATATCCATTCAACATATGCTTTCAAATATTCATCATTTCCTTCTTGCTTTGTTAAATATTTGCAAGTTTCTTAGCCAAAATGAAAACAGCCCAACAGGTTAATAACACAGAGTCTGAGAGGATGTTGTCTGATTTAATTACTGTGCTGAGCAAAGAAATCATTTAAGGTTACACAAACAGGACTTCAATATGATTGCTTAATAGAAAAAAATATCAACCTGCTGAATTAAAGGAATCAAAGGAGGAAAGAATACAGTATGAACTCCAGCCAAAAAAGAAATGTTAGTATACAAATCAGAGTAACGAGAAGATGTGAAAAGAAGGAAGCATGAAAAAATACATCATTAACTAGGATTAGAGTCCTCAAATATAGTAAACCCTTAAGGTAAAAATCATAGCTGGCTAATCAAAAGCTATAAAAAGAGATGTAAAGATAAGTGTCCTGGTAATAAATATGCATCTATAATCTGTGATCTTAGCCAGAGCATAGCTGCTGCAAACATCTTATTAAATACACAAACTTAACAGGAGTGATTAATTAGTATCAGACTGTGCTGGCTTCCCAAGACAACAGGGCTGAGAGAGATGAGGTGAATTCTGCTGTGAATGTCTCCAGATAGACTGTAAAGAACAGGAGCTTCCACAGAAGCATAGTCTCATTTTCTTTCTCTTTTCATGAGCTGGGTGTCCCCACTTAAATGCAGCTTTCAGGTTAAGGCTGCCAACAACCAATAGAAAATTCTGTGTGATAAGAGTCCTGGTTTCTGGGACTTCCCATGGCAAATGCACCCTGTAGGAATGAAGTTGAGGATACACCAAAACAGATAAAAAATGTTTAAAATAAAACATCAGCTTCTTGTAGTTAAAAGTAGTGCAGTCTTGATGTCATTTAGGACATGATGGGTGCTGCCAACTGGGTCCAGTCTGATGAGTTGAGAAAAGAACATAAAACTCACACTGAACATCTCCTGGCAAGGTAGTTCATGTATTTTTAAATTAATATCAATACAATAGCAAAACACTTTACTGACAAGAACACAAAATTTGCTGTAAATTAGTCTTATTTACTTTCATTTAGAGGCTATTAGAGTCATAGCTGAAATCAAGTTTAGATGCTATTTCTAACACATCATCAGTACGAGGAAGAGTGGTTTGCAGCAATCTAACAGAAGTGAATGGAGAAAACTCAAAGCTCTTGAGCTTTGGAAATGCTCTTTGCATTTTGATTTTGGAGAAGAAAGGAAGGGCTTTCTTAAGAAATGTAGTGTGGTTGGCCTAACTAATATTTTAAGTTATTCAGGCCGAAAGAAATCCAATCCCTATAAACAGTTCACAGAGAAAAACTTTAAATCTAGAGCTTTTGGTTTTTTACCTTCACATTCTTTTATTTTGGTAGAGTATGCTTGAATTAATGTTCTGTGTACCACAGCCATCTATCCAGAGAGACAAATCTTTATTCTTGCTGTACTTTCTAAAGCAATTGGTAACCTCTTTGCCTTTTGCTTTAGCAGATGTCTGAAAAGATTTGCATGGTCTTTGGAAAGAGGAAAAGATAATGAACCAATGAGCAGGTTACAAGAACAGGTATGTTAATTTATAAGCAAGTATCTACAGTCTTTCCAGGGTTCTTGAGTGCTTGTTTCCTTTTATTGACAGCATTCAGGACTTTCTTTCTTGGCCCAAGCTCCATCTGAATGCTCTGTAGATCTTCATCAGAACATAGCATCAAGGCATCTAAATCAATTTTTTCTCTCATGAAGACTGGTAGAAACTCATCCAGCATCTGTGAAGCCAGAAATACCTCAAGGGGTGTATCCTCTGCTTCCTCATCATCCCAAATGATTTCTTCCTCATGCCAAGGCATATCAGCACCATTTTCAGCAGCATCTTCCCTGCCATTCTCAGCATTTTCATACTGAAAAAGCTCACTGGACATTGTAAAGCTTATACCTTCTTTCTCAGAAGACACAGTTCCAGAATTTACATCCGCAGCCAAATTCCTTCCAAATACAATCTTGCCGAGACCTGGCCGTTTAAAAATGGAGAGCTGACTGTCATTATCTAAAGAGCTTTTCTCTCCAAAGTCATTCAGTAACTCATCCTCCTCTTTCTCATCAAACAAATGCATCACAGTTCTCCTACCTGTACCACCCTCTTGGTCGTTGCTTTGTGTTTCCGGCTTTCTTGTGCTGTCAGCTGCTTTTTTTGTCTTCAGTTTGAAAGTATCTTTCAGATTTTTGGAGAAAGGACTTGTGTTTGAAGCAAAGAGGCTGGGCAACTTTACTCTGGAGTGTGTCCCTCTGGAAGAATTCACTGTGCCAACCTTTTCTTTCATATAATTGCGATTCATTTCATGCTGGTGTTTCTCTTGGCGCTTCTCACATTCCTTGATTTGTTTCTCCACGTTCCTCTGGGCTTGTGCTTTGAGTTTGGAGACCTTTTTTGGATTCAGGATGTTCTGCTCGGTAGCAGCTTTGTCCAGGATCCTGACACATTCATTGCGGTCTCTGCTGGCAGCTACCTCCAGGGGAGTGCGGAGGTCATTGTCCAGAGCAAAGATATTGGCACCGAAGTTGGTCAAAAAAGAAACACAATGGATGTGACCATTGCAAGCAGCATGGTGGAGAGGCGTGTTCCCCCAGATGTCACATTTGTCTGGATCACCTCTGAGAAGGAAAATAGCATACAGTGAGCTGGACGTACCCAATGTAGCACTGCAGTGGGGTTGAACAGATACTAAACGTTTAGCTCTGCTTTGCTATGGTGAGTACACCCCAATGAAAAAGAGTCAGCTTAGCTCCATTGTCTAGAACAGCACTGCACCTACTTACACAAGTGCTGAATGTGGTTCCATGTGTGGCATAAACTCTAATTCCTGTCTGTCTGTGAATTAAGCAAGCTTGTTGGGGTTGAGTCCATGTGCATGTGCAACTCCCCATAATGGAGCCAAGCTATTTCCCTTGTGTCACCCTAGGGCCTGGCAGGGCTGTTGGCAGGGCTGGCTTTGCTCCCTGCTGGTCTCACCCACCTCCTGCAATGGGGCAGAAATAAGCAGTCACTTGTGTGCAAGCAAGGAGCTGCAGCTCTGACTGCTTTGCTGCTGACAGCTCAAAGTGGGCTCTGGCTTTGACTTACACTCATTGGAATTAATGGCAAAGCTGTTTCAATAGATTTTGCATGGAGTATTTTAAAGGCTTTTTTGTGACTCTTCCCTTTCACATGTCAAATGTAGGTATAGTCTTAGAAGGATTCTTCACTGGCCACACTGATACAATGAGCCCATGCAGCAATTTTTTTGGTAGATAATAGGTAATTATTGAGAGTAAAGCCCTGACTACACATTTGTCTCCATTGCTATTAGATTAGGCTCAGACAGATGCTGTTGCTTGTCTTGAGCTCTTTTGCTCTCTTTAAGCTGCTTTTTGCTCATGGGACTTGAAGAGCAGAAGCTCATTTGAAAATAAAATACCACATCTTTCAATTTAATTTAAAGCCAATGAAAAGTATTGCTTTCTTTTTAACTCTGACACTTGAGTTCGCACTGAACTGCTGCCTGCAGATGAGAATCAGCCTGAACCTTTTATTCCTTATTTGGTGGGATCAGCATTAGCAATGGTTCAGAACAGAGCCTGAGTGGTCTGTGGCCAATAACCAAGGCAGCCATGGTAGCCAAAAACCTTTAAGAACTTCAGAGCCAGGGGCCAAATTTACAAGGAGAATTTCTACTCTTGAAGGTCTGAGCATTTCAAAGACTTGGAGATCTGTTCCATGGCAGCTGTACTGCAAATGAAATGGTCTGTTCTGTCACAGGCATTGGTCTCTGGCTTTGAGTATAGGCAAAGCACTAACGTATCTGTTTGAAAACTTCCCTCAGCCTGAAGGGCCACAGGCAGAGTTGAGGCCAGGGGTTCCCGCAGAGCTGAGACGCAGAGCTGCTTGCATTGAAAGACAATGGCAAGCGTAAGGGTGCCAGGCTGAGAGAGCACAGGCATTTCTACAAGGAGATGGCAGCTGAGGATCAAAGTTTCTCCTCTAAGTCAGATGGAAACCATGTGTATGTATTTCTGCTTTCATGAGTCTGCCCTGGGTAACTGCCTGACTGCAGCCGAGCATGCCAGATATCTGAATTCTCACATTAGCAAACGGGCTGCATTATCCTGAGCCTTGGGAGTGCCAGGTCATCCATCCTTCCCCAGGTCCCTTCACAGCTGTTTGTGGTCTCTTTTCCCTGTGGAGCCTGTCAGCCTTTGAGTCTCAAACAACTGACAGAGTGTCTGTTCCCCACTCAGTGGGACCTTGGGTAAGGTTTGACATCTACTTTGGGTCCTCACACCCCTCTTTCCCCTGCTTTCCCAAGACACTGTTTTTTCTACAGAAAAGGGAGCAGATCTGCTACTTGATCTTGCCTTTATTCATGTACCTGCAAAGCAAGCAGAGAAAATGTCTCTTGGTGCCTGGGAAGACAAACTAGTTCAAAATGAAAAGCTTTGTTGTTAGTATTGCTACATTTTCAGAGGGCTGAATGTGTTGCAAGCTTCAAAGTCCTAAAATCTGCAACTACTCTAAAGAAAACGATTCTGTATCTCAGTGCCTTTGTCAGGAAACCTCTTCAGGGAAAGGATGAATTTGTTTAAAAACATTGAAATACTTTCTTGTGATAAAACGTTGACTGACTGCAGAACAGATTAAACGTCTTCCAAAATTCAGCTTCTCCCAAGAAAACCAGTGAGGCTACAGCTGTATCTCTGACAGCCCCAGCTTGCTGATCATGTAAAGAAATCTTGAATTAAAATAGAGGTGAGTGCATATGTTTGAAGATTTTTGAGGGCAATACTGTCCCAAAGCTGTCCTCTACCAAGAAAAAGAGTTAGAAATAAATAAGAAATACACAGAAATTCTGATCTTTGTGTCATCCTCTGTGACATCTGTCAGCTTGTATGGTAGAAGACATATTTTCCACTCAAGTTAAAAAAAATTGTTATTTGTTCATTAGCTAGTTGTTATGTCTCCTAGGTGTTCAGGGACAAACTTTTACGGACTCTAGATATTTCCTTGGAGCTGCCTTAATTATGTGAAATGAAAAACTGTCAATCTACTTTTGCTTCTCCTGAGAACACAACAGGAACCATGCAGTCCAAAGGTCTTTTTTATTGTGTTATTACAGCCACACCTGAGCTCAATGAACTATAAAGCAAATCTATGAAAAACCTATTTTTATTCCATATTTTCAATTCTATTTTTAATAAAAGAAAACTCAGATACATCCAAATAGTTGTTCAACTTTTGCCTCCAATTGTCTTTAAACTATTATGATTAAAAATACACGTTAACTTAATCTTCACCTCAGCCCAGAAAGAATCTTTTATTAACTGTATCTCTACACAAGAGCAGATTTTCTTTTATTAGGTCTTATTACAGAATCACAGCTTAAAAGGCAGGCTCCAGGCAAGTGAGTACAGAGGGTGGGGAGGTAATTATTATTTCAGGAACACATTTTAACCATGTAGTACATTTAAATGATACCAAACAGAAATATTACTATTAGAAAGTGAGCCTGTAGAAAACCTTCCTTTACCTTTTTTTGAGGTTTGGAAGTATTGTACTCCAACTTCTGCAACAGTATTGTCATTTTTTAGCATGATAGTAATTGCTAATACTATAAAAAACAGTCTAATAACAATTTTACATGTTACTGTCTCAAAACTATCAGTGGTGACTTGCCTCTGGGAAGCATTAAGCCTTCACAAGTGTCTACTATCTGCACTTTGGAAGTGAATGGGAGAGATTTTTTGCTAAAAATGTTCCAAACAATGCATTTCTCTAGAGCCAGTTTCAAATATATGGTATCATCAAAGGTTGTTGTCCAACTTCTCCTCCATTACAGTGAGGCGAGGCCCCAGGGCCCTGCTAACTCCTCCCTGCAGACTCCATCTATGAGGTGTTCTGGCTTATATCAATGTGGCTTCACCGATCAGAGGTACAGACCTGATTGCAGGTTCTGGAACATTGCAAATGAAGAGGAACAATTCTTGACAATGCACTGAAAGAAATTACTGTGATTTTCACCCTTTTGGGTCTGAGGTCATTGGAGCTTTAGAAAAATGACACAGGCTTTAAGCAATGGAGGTGATTAACTTACCCTCTCCGACATATAACTTCCAGAGCTTCTAGATACCCATGGTATGCTGCCAAAAGGGTGGGTGTCATCCCATCTTCATCTGAAGTATTGAGGTCCTTCCTGGTAGCTTCTTTCAAGAGGTCCAAATTGCCATCAGCTGCTGCTTTGTGATACCTACTCGACATTTTCAGTAACTTCTGGTTTCCCAAAGCAGCTCTGAATGATATCCAGACTGTACAGTCACCCTTCCATTATATAGTTCATTAATGATTACAAGCTGACACGTTCCTGTGAGGATGGAAATGAGGAGGCAAAGTTCATCCTAGCAGACAACCTATCTGGAGCTCTGCGTAGGTAATAAGGCAGTGGTGTGGTGAGTACTTACATTTTCTGGAGGGTGGCTCTGCTGTTTACCATTTATTGCATATTTGACGATTTACATGTAAAGGGGATTCATTCATTTTTCTCTATGTCTTTGCCTAACTGTTCTGAAAAAACTTCAAAAGGACATTGAACTTAAAAAAAAACCACTTTAAAAATTTCAAAAAGCCTTCGAAAGTCCATGACTGTCATTACAACCAGATTTCACCCTAAGTTATAACGTATCTCTGAGTTTGGATAGGATTAATTCCATAAGCAGTTACCTTATTGGTGAAGTCCTTCGTAACATACTATTTACTATGTTGTTGCATTTAAAAACAAGCCTCTTCCCCACCAAACCAGGCACACCCATGAAGACATTTCATGTACACAGATTGATGGGCAGATGGAAACAGGCCTGTCAGGACCAGGGTGGTGCGTGCTCAGATAAAAGTCACAGCAGGCAAAACCACAGCCTAGTGTGTGAGCCTTTTAACTGCAAATTGCATTTCATCCCAGGATTTTAAGGCACTTAGCAAATATACTTTTATCTAACAGTATTGTAATTGTAATCTCTGTTTCATATGCAAAAAATGTGCAGGATTTCCTCAGGATAGCATAGGGAATTCAAGAAGTGGAAATGCAATGGGCCTGCATCCCCTGCCCCAGCCTGGGCACTGTGGTCCTCGCTGGGGAACAGATGAGTCCAGTCCCCACCTCACATAACCACTTCTTGCTTTAGAAATTATTTCCCCTGATTTCATTAGTGTTAAGGGCTATCTCTATGAGTAGAAGCTTATAGAAGTAGACTGTAATTCTAATTTTAGGTTCAAAGGAATTACTAAGAGAAAATGATGTAAAAGATCAGTTTTAAAACAGTAGCTGAGAAGAAATTAGTCAGAGACTACCTGCTGTGTAATAAAATGCTGCAGGCTATCTGTCATTCTGGTCACATTCCCAAGAGTCACCAGATAAATGTTACTTTTTTGTCAAGCTGTTTTCTATGACTGACTGAATTAACCTGTATCTTACAGAATCTACCTTCAGCAACTATCAGTGAGGTTTTGTTGCTTATTACGCCCTCATTACAGAAGCAGTAGTGATTGCAAACCGATTTATTGTCCAGAGTTGGTGCAATTACTGAATGGAGTGCCACCTCATTTACTTCCCACAATGCCACCCGTGTAATGCACTGGAGACCTCTCCAAATGGGCTCTCTTAATTATTTTCTCAGACAGGGACTGAAGAGCTCTTCAGGAACAGGCAGTACCAACATTTTTCTTCCATGAGGACAAAGAGATCCTGTGACAGGTTTGAATCTTGGAATACACAAGTCTAGGTAGAAGTAAACCAAAGCCCTGGTTTTCCTTTGTGTCATCCACAGACACAACCATCCCTGGTGCAATCCTGCCGGCTCGGGGCAGTGAGGAAGGGCTGTGCTCCACCCAGGCCAACCTCCATCCCTGCATTAGGAGACAGTTTTGCCTCACCCCTTTTTCAAGTTACCGGCACAAACATCAATACTTTTCTAATAAAAATTGCAGTAATTTATTCCATTTTCTATTTAACCATGCTCAGCACCAAGTTAAAATTACAGCTAGAAAAAACTAGCTGTTGCAGAACAAACTCAGATAATACATATATATATTATATACGTGTGTGTGTATACATATATTACATTAGTTGTTTCTTGATGCCATTGAATTTTATTTCCTTTACTGGGTAGTGTAAGCTTTTTTACTCTCGAGAGTGTAAAATTATCACCAAGGCATGTGCTACACATACCATCAGTGCCTGGCAGAAGAGAGGAGACAGCATTTTTCTTCTGTGTTGAGATTTTGCATGGTTAGCTACACCCATGAAAGTGAGTTGATAGCAGAAAAGACTTCTTCATTTTTCAAGATGATTGATTTCTACTACAGAAGTACATTAATTTGATTTTCTGTTAATTCAGCATATAGAGTGTTGATCTCAGACTGATTTTTATCATCTAACATCTGATTTTAAAATCAGATTGATTTTAAAAGGAAGTTACTTTAAAAGGCTAAGTGGGGAACTATTGTTGCAAGTTTTAATTAGAGGTAAAGCAAAACCGTGTATATTGGAGAGAAGCTTCAGGACTCTGCAGGCTTTATTGTTATTTATGTCACAAAAGTGGGCATCACAAAAAAAAGAAAGAAAAAAGAAAAGACCACACAAAATCTCCATCTGTTTCTAAACTCCTGATACTTGTTCATCTTTGTCCCATCCAAAAACCTCAACTTGAAATGCAATAAAGGATTCAACTTCAAGTGAGCTAAATTTCTCAGCTTGAATGGAGTTTTTTCTTTCAAGAATAAAGCTCAAAATTGTGAACTTTTAAAACTCCCTAGTTAGAATGAAGCTTTTCTTTTTGGGTTTGAAAAGAACTTCAAAACCATTCCACTTTCAATTGAAATGTCTTACCAAGCTCAGGAGAAACTGTAGTGATGGTACATGGTGTTGTAAGCTAATTAATTATTTAACTAGCAGTTAAACAAACTTTTTAGATTGTAAGACTACAGTATCCTTAGTTATGTTGTTCTAGACATCTCAGAGCCTGGTCTGAACAGAGATGTAGTTGTGCCATCTCTTTGGATGAGGTATTATCCAGTACAGCGTTTCCTCATTGCAACATTTATAAGCATCAGATGTGGTATAGTAAAGGCTGTATGGGGGGAAGCAAGTAAGTCTGTGCTTGTCTCATGAGATCCTTGGAACTAATGGACTTAGAGAAGAAAGGCATTAGTCACACAGGGTAATTGTGGCTACACGATTCAGAGATGATGACAACATTTAAGCAAAAATAAAAGCTTATTTCTTCACTCCTTAGAGAGGCAAAACTGCTGTGCCCTAGTGCGGAGAAGCATCAACAGGCTGCAAACCAAGGCGCTGCAGAAGCTGGGATTCCCATGAGAACATTATTGAGAGAACACAAACAGCAGCTGGGATTTATACAAAGGCAATCTTTGGAAGATTGAACTGTGTTGTTGTTGAGTATAACAGGACCGTGGGCCAGCCTGAAAGTAGGAGTTCAAAACTACACAAAGCACTGTGTGCCTGGGTTATCTTGACCAGAACACTGGTTGAATGGTATGCGTGGTGTGTGACAGGGTATCTCGGTCTTGGAACACCTGGCCATAAAGTATGGGAATGAGGGATGGGAAAGTGCTGTTGTATGTAAACATCCTGATTGGCTGCATAGTTGGGTCCTTCTCTGTAGCTATAAAAGCTGAGGTAGAAAACAAAAACTTCACTTGGCATTCATCTGCTGAGACAGTTTCTTGTTTTCAGCTCACTGCACCCTAGGACTCTGTTACTGGAACTCCTCTTAGGTAGCCCCGCTCCCAGAGGGAGGTTGAGCGTGACCCACACTGGTGCTGCCTGAGCTCCATCCCAATGTGATCCTTGTTCAGGTGTAACCACACTGGAATTGGGGGTCTGCCTAGACACATAATTCCAGGAGCAAGGCCCTACTCTATTGGGAAAGACACATAAAATTGAAAGGCAATAAAGCCAGCACTACTATAAAGCCCTGTCTCTCCTTGCCCGCACACCTCGACGCCTGGCCATGCTGGGCACATAAAAGCAGACTGGAGGACTTCCGTAGGGCTAGAAGCAGTGACAATGTTGTATCACAGTGATGTTTGCAATAAGTGTTTTTCCTGGAAGTGCTCAAAAGTAGCAGTCCTGAACTGGCATTTGGGTTCTTTGAGTTGCTAAAGCCTTTTTATTTGGTTTTCTTTGATGTTTTGTTTTGTTATTATTCTTCCCCGTCAGCTGTGCTGCAAACAGTCCCCCACTGAGCTCACTGGTGTCTCAAATGCTGTCCTGCTGCCATTGTGTGAAGGACAGAAACAGCTGAAGCCCACAGGAAAGTGCATTTGCATGGGTTCAGCACTGCTCTTGGGCAATATCTTTTTTTTCCAACCAGAAGTTAGAAAATCAAACAAGTAAAAGAGAACCTCCCAGGTTTTTGTAGCAGAATAAAAAAAATGAAAGCCATGGAGATAATTTTGTGTTTCAGGGCATGAAAAAGCTTTTTACATGTAGCTCAGACCATAATTATTGTTACAGGTTCAACAAACCAGACAGAGAGAACCAAATTTTTTGAAAGGAGGAATGACAACACTTTCTCTATAGCTTAAGCTGGAAATTCAGTGAAGCAACAATTAATTATTTCAGTCCATGCTGATGAATTTCATCCTACAAAACTACATACTCAAAGATTGATATTAGGAGCTGCTAACACACACAGCAGGACAAACCCAGGTGTGGTGACTGTGGCAATAGCACTGCTCTAACTGTTCAGTGTTGTCTGGTGCGACATTATCTTTCAGCTATACAAGCCCCAACCTGTTACAAGGCATCTGGGAACTGGCAAAACCCTGAGTTAACTCTAGCAGGCAGGGACCTTCTGTGGAGGGACCGTGCATGGCTGCTGCTCAAGTCTCCAGAGACTTGCCCTGCACTAGCAGCATCACTCTGGTGTGATGCAAGATTGAGCTTTTACCAGCCCCAAATCAGCCAAACTCCAGGAACATTACCCAGAGCTCTCTGGGACTTAGAGCTTTTCCACCAGCTTAGTGAAGCTGGGAATCAGAGACAGGGAAATTATGAGTAAGTTTAACTTTACATCAGATTTGACTGCCTGAATGTATCTCATTTGTGTAATCGTTTAAATGACATGTATTTGAAATCTGTTTTTTTCCCCATACTTAGTTAAATCCAAGCTAATAATAATAGATAATTTAATAAACTTATGCATGGCTTCAGAGTTTGTTTCATTAGTTTTCTGTTTAATCAA